AAAGTTCTAAAAATTCTACAAAATCTTAAAATTCCAAAAATCAAGGGTCCTGGCCAGGCCCTCCTGGGCTGGGACCATCTAGAATTCTTAAAATTCTATTCATCGGACCCCCGAAATTTTGAAATTTTAGAATTTTACAGTTCAATATACATACATACAGACATAGACACGCATACATACTTACATACATAAATACGTACATACATACATACATACATACATACATACATACATACATACTTACATACTTACATACTTACATACTTACATACTTACATACTTACATATTTACATACATACTTACATACATACATACAGACATAGATACAAAGATACCTAGATACATAGATGCATACATACATAACATCACAGCACATTACCTCACATTGCACGACAGTACGTCCCTACACATACACATACACATGCGCATACATTACATACATCGATACGTCCATACATACATGCATGCATACATAATCTAACATAACATTCTATAACATTACAGTACATACATGCACTCATGTACAGGTACATGCACCTACACATACACATACACTGCGCACATGCATAAATGCATTCATGCATGCATGCATACAAACATGCATACAACTTGTTCCAGGTGACACTGGGCATGTTGCCGGGTCAACGATACCCAACCCGCCCTGCAAGAGATTAAACACGTATATTTAATGCAAGACAGGCCCACTCACGTTATACTTGCGGTCCGACTTTGTCATTAGAGGATCTTCATCTGCTCAGCCATTTTTAGAAGCAGTTTTGTCGCGACTCCGATCTGCCATGAGCCGAGCGGAGCGCAGAGCCTGGCGACTCAACTGGCGAGCTTGCTGGGGTGTCTGGCCTTCGCAGGACCTGTGTGTCTGCCGTTCATTTCGTACGGCTGCTCTTGATTTACTGCAGCACTTACTCAACTTGTTAATAGGCCCATTGTCATGAGACGACGTGGTTTTGATTTGTTTGTGGAGTCCGGTGTCACATAAAACCATATTGTAACGGTTCTTTGTTTATCCGCGGCGCCCGGTGTCACAGGGCGAAGTGCTACACTTGCTTGCTTATTCGCGGCGCCCGGTGTCACAGGGCGATCCCTCCACTTGTTTTTGTTCGCGGCGCCCGGTGTCACGGGGCGATTCCTCCTGTTGGTTCTTGTGCGCGGCGCCCGGTGTCACGGGGCGATTCCTCCTGTTGGTTCTTGTTCGCGGCGCCCGGTGTCACGGGGCGATCCCTCCTTTTTGTTTGCTTGTTCGCGGCGCCCGGTGTCACGGGGCGATTCCTCCTGTTTGTTTGCTTGTTCGCGGCGCCCGGTGTCACGGGGCGATTCCACGCCCGGTGTCACGGGGCGATTCCTCCTGTTTGTTTGCTTGTTCGCGGCGCCCGGTGTCACGGGGCGATTCCTCCTGTTGGTTCTTGTGCGCGGCGCCCGGTGTCACGGGGCGATTCCTCCTGTTGGTTCTTGTTCGCGGCGCCCGGTGTCACGGGGCGATTCCTCCTGTTTGTTTGCTTGTTCGCGGCGCCCGGTGTCACAGGGCGATCCCTCCGTTTGATTGCTTTTTCACGGCGCTCGGTGTCACAGGGCGGTCCCTCAAGTTGATTCTTGTTCGCGGCGCCCGGTGTCACAGGGCGAAGTGTTGCACTTGTCTGCTTGTTCGCGGCGCCCGGTGTCACGGGGCGATTCCTCCTGTTGGTTCTTGTTCGCAGCGCCCGGTGTCACGGGGCGATTCCTTTTGTTGGTTCTTGTTCGCGGCGCCCGGTGTCGCAGGGCGAAGTGTTACACTTGTTTGCTTGTTCGCTGGGCCCGTTGTCACAGGGCGATCCCTCAAGTTGGTTCTTGTTCGCGGCGCCCGGTGTCACAGGGCGAAGTGTTACACTTGTTTGCTTGTTCGCTGGGCCCGTTGTCACAGGGCGACCTCTCAAGTTGGTTCTTGTTCGCGGCGCCCGGTGTCACAGGGCGAAGTGTTACTCTTGTTTGCTTGTTCGCGGCGCCCGGTGTCACGGGGCGATTCCTCCTGTCGGTTCTTGTTCGCGGCGCCCGGTGTCACAGGGCGAAGTGTTTCACTTGTTTGCTTGTTCGCGGCGCCCGGTGTCACGGGGCGATTCCTCCTGTTGGTTCTTGTTCGCGGCGCCCGGTGTCACGGGGCGATTCCTACTGTTGGTTCTTGTTCGCGGCGCCTGGTGTCACAGGGCGAAGAGTTACACTTGTTTGCTTGTTCGCGGCACCCGGTGTCACAGGGTGATGCCTCCGCTTGTTTCTTGTTCGCGGCGCCCGGTGTCACAGGGCGAAGTGCTTCACTTGTTTGCTTGTTCGCGGCGATCCCTCCAGTGTCACAAGGAGATGCTTCCATTTTTGCGGTTCGTTTGCGGCGCTCGGTGTGATAAATATACCCCCACTCCTTACCAGCTGGCTACGCATAATTTAACAGATTTACTTGGTTTCCTTCGGCATGTGATTCTCGTGACGCCCGGTTTCACTCGGCGACATGTCAATAGCGAGGTGTGTTCAGGCGGTTTGGCTAAGCTTTTGCAATGTAGCAAAGACATTACTTGTTCGTGGGCTGTCACATGCTCTTAGAAGGGATTGACCACAAGCATGTGCATGGGTTTCATGACTGGTGACTGACGTGACTTCGCATTCCGCGCGGTTTCTAGGAGACGATGCCAAAGCCAGAGGAAAAGCCAGAAGAGAAGCCAGAAGGCAAGCCAGAAGCAAAGAAGCGAGCCGTCGAGGCACAGCCGATGGGATTC